AAGTGCTGGATTTTGAATTGTAAGTTCTGGGTTTAAAGGCTGGCTCTCTTACATACTACCTGGGAGACTTTGGACAAGGTCCCTTAATCTTACTAGGGACTCAGTTTCCTAATCTGTAAAATGAGGGAGTAGGATTTGATGGCCTCTAAGGTCCTTTCCAGCTCTAAATCTATGATCCTATGGCCTGAGTTCAAATCCCAATTCTGCCATTTGCAGCTTGTGTGCCCTGTGGCAAATTAGCTCACACTCCTGGAGGACGAAAAGCCTCTGAGACCCCTTCCAATTCTAAGTCTGTGACTTAGGGCCTGTAACGATCCCCCTCTCCAGGCCAGGGTAAACCCAGCTGTATACAGCTTCATGATTTGTCTTGGTTTGGGGGTTTGGGGCTAAAAGGTATAAAAGGTATAATATAAACTTTGTGTCAGGGGTTCCTTCATGATACAAAAGGCCTTACCCAGGTTCACTTTGGGAATTTCTATGTCTCTGTCTCATTGGACTGCATCCAAATAATCTGGGAACCTGTTAAACTCCAGGGTCTGATCAACTCACCCTGCAAACACACAGCCTTGAAGTTTCTTTGGTGCCCAGCAGATGGCAGCAGATGGCAGCCTCTAACAGATTAGTGGATCAGAGGCCAATCAATAAGCATTTATGAAGCACTTAGTAATGGGCAGCTGAGTGGTGCAGTGGGGTCTGGAGTCAGGAAGACCGAGTTCAAATCCCACCTCAGACACTTACTAGCTGTGTGACCCTGGGCGAGTCACTTATCTCTCTTTGCCTTAATCCACCGGAGAAGGAAACGGCGAACCACTCCAGTATCTTTGCCAAGAAAACCACATGGACAGCCTTGGTGTGCTGTGGTCCACAGGGTCATGAGGAATCGGGCGCCACCGAACAACTTCCTGACTATTTTAGGGGCCGTAACAACCTCGTCACTAAGGGACTAAATTCTCCAAGACATCTTCAAGCACCCCAGCACGTCTGATCCCCTCCCATGCCCTCTCCATCCTTCCGCTACAATATTTCTCATATCCACACTGTCCTTTCTCCTGTCACAGCCATCGCCTCACTGTAAGTGGTATCTGGACTACTGTAGTAGAGTAGCCTCCTACCTGGACTCCCTAATTCTGGCCTCTCTCCTCTCTACTGACAAAGGAGCCTTCCTAATATCTAATTCTGACCATGTCACTCCCTTGCTCAAAGACCTCCATGGCTCCCTATTACCTTTAGGATAAAGTATAAACTCCTCCTGTCTTATCATGCTCTCTCCATCTCAACCAATCTGATCTACATGTTCTTTCCTGATCTCCCATTGACGTCCCTTTCTCTGCTATCTCCTGACCTCCACAGGTCCATCTGCTGAAACCTTGGTGTCCCTTCCTGACTCAGCTAAAGTGCTATGTCTTCCATGAAGCTATGAATGACCCTAGTAGCAATTAGTGATCCCTCCCTCCTCCACCAAAATTCCCTTGCTGTTTGATAAGCAAGATGGAATTGTTGCATTCCATTTGCATTAGGGGTATCTCACTATATGTGATATCCGGCCCCATCTACCTGCAGAATAGAAGCTCCTTGAGGGCAGTTCAAAGGATCCTATTTAAAACTGGACAGGACCGCAGAGGTCATCTAACCCAATATTCTAATTTTGTGAATAAGGAAATAGGCTTAAGAAGTGACTTGCCCAGGGTCACACAGGTAGTGAGTAGCAGAACCAAGATTGGAACCCAGTTCCAATGACTCAATAGTTAAGACTTTTCCATGGCACTACATTTCCTCCCATGTATTGGGTCATTTTGTATTTGCATTGCCCGGCACGATGTGGTATGTACTGGAAATACTTGATGAATGTTCTGTGTTGCTGAAATGCCAGGAAGTTGGGAGATTCTTTTCCATCCCAGGATCACATTAGTAGATATGCCCCAATCAGAGGAAGCGACCAGGAGCCTGGAGAGCGATGTCTCCACTCTGGAACCATTTTTTTTTCCACAGAGAGAAATCCCATCATGAAGCAAGCTGACACAAGATGGCGCCACTTCCAGACAGTATTTTGCCACAATGAGGAATACTCTTTAGGCTAATTTATGTTTCTCCTCTCCATCTCTTCCACTGACCCTGAGGGTACCCTCTAAAGGAAAACGTGAAAGCTGACATCTTTGCACCTTTGCTGGCCGCGTGTGCATACAAAAAGGCTAGGCATGTGAATTCCCTGTCTGTCACAGACACTGGGCTGTTGGGGAGTAGGAAAGAGGACAGTTCTTCTGGGTTCCCAGATCTCTCTTCCTTGTGGAACTTGCTACCAAATCTCCAGGCTGATGGAAGTTTTCCCAGGTCTCAGACTCGCTCTTTTTAAAAATTTATGTATCTATTTATTTTTAGTTTTTCAACATTCACTTTTATAAGATTTTGAGTTCTAAATTTTCCCCCCCTCCCTCCCCTCCCCTAAGACCACATGCAATCTGATATAGGCTATACATGCATGATCATAGTAAACACATTGGTTGTTGTCTTTCATTTTCAAAGAGAACCAAAATGACATCACAATGCTAGAGTTGGGTTTCGGTGTGTCCAGCTGTGGCTGATGCTTGGAATGCTCTGCCACAGGTCCGGCACAAATAGTCCATGTGAACATTTGGAGTAGAGATGTCTCTAAATTCATGCATCTCGTGTTTCTTTTGAGCTGCTTCATTTCTGCTTTGCTCACACAGCACAGCACCTTCTCTGATGTGGGCACACCACGCTGGATGGTCCTGTGCCTCCCATGTCACACAATCAATTCCAAAGTTCTTCGAAGAGACCTTGAGAGCGTCCTTGTATCATTTCTTCTGACCACCATGTGAACACTTGCCCTGTGTGAGTTCTCCATAAAGTGGTCTTTTTGGCAAGTGTACGTTTTGCATTCGAACAATAGCCTATCAGAGTTGCGCTTTCTGAAGCAGAGTTTGACTGCTTGACAGTTTAGTTTAAGAAAGGACCTCAGTGTCTAGTACCTTATCCTGCCAGGTGATCTTCAGAATCTTCCCAAGACAATCAAATGAAAAGCAATTCAGTTTCCTGGCATGGCGCTGGTAGACTGTCCAGGATTCACAGGCATACAACAATGAGGTCAGCACAATGGCTCTGTAGACCCAGTCATGTTGTGAAAGAAGAATCAGAGCAAAAGGGAAAAACCACAAGAAAGAAAAAACACAAAAAAACACAAAAAAGAGAAAACAGTCTGCTTCCATCTGTATTGAGATGCCACAGCTCTTTCTCTGGATGTGGATAGCATTTTCCACAGATCCACTGTTGCTTGCCTCATGTCCATCAGTGACATCAGGTTGGGATACTGTGACTCCAAAAGCTTCATACCCTGCCTTCCCTCTCTTCCCAAAATGCAGGGGTGGTGTTTTCTGCCCTGGTGAACACGGCCCCAGGGCCAGAACCCTGAGAAGAACTCCAGGTTCTCTTCACTTCTCTTCTAAGTCCCCATCAGTCTCAAGACAATTATTTTGGCTTCTTCCCAGGGACACTGTGGGGTGGCAGAAAGGGCACTGGTCTTGGAGCGCAAGGAGTTGCCGAGCGCTTTAGGACCTGCTAAATGAGACCTGCAGTGACCTCAAAGAGATTAGCCTCAAAAGCCAAGTGGAAAAGCAATACCTTCATCTACACGATGAGGCCAAGTTGGATGGAAAACCAATTCTCTCTCTGTGTACATGTACACAGACACACATATACACACACATGTATACACACATGTACATATGTGTATGTGTATACACTTGTATGTGCATGTATATATATACATATACGTACACACACATAGATAAATGTATTTATATATAAACATATATGAATGTATATATATATAGGAAAGGAGCATCAAGCTATTCTACTCACATATGCATATATGTATACACACATTTTAATGCACATACGTGTATACATATACATACATATGCATATATGTATGTATACATATGTGTGTGTGTGTGTGTGTGTGTGTGTGTGATCTTGGACAGATAGTGCATATGAAAATGAGCTGGGACCAAAACAGAACATGAGGAAAGTGGGATAAATGACGCTCGATCATTACAAAGTTCTTTTAATGACCCCAAATTTCCCACGAAATAAAGGTGCATACATTTATTGTTCATCTGGCATTATTGTGCAGCTTTGAATTGTACTGTTTAAAAAGTTTGAGATATATACTTTCTGGGTATTTTAATAATTTTGTAATAATGCCAGCATGTTATTAATAAAAGAGATGTGGGGCAGCTAGGTGGCACAGTGGATAGAGCACCGGCCCTGAAGTCAGAAGGACCTGAGTTCAAATCTGACCTCAGACCAAATACTTGACACTTACTAGCTGTGTGACTCTGGGCCAGTCACTTAACCACAACTGTCTTAAAAAAAGGGGGGGGGGTCCAGTGGCAGTCTCAGGTGCCAAAGATCCCTCATGGCTGGGGCTCACAGTTTATATGCCCTTGGAAGAGTGGCTGCTCCTGAGGGTGGCAATCAACTCTGGTTGGTTGACAACGAATGAGGAAATGAATGTTATAATGGGATGTGAGCTCATTCTGGTGAGCATCTCGGGCTTAGTGATTCGGATCACCCAAGTCCTGTTCAAAGAGACTTGTCAATTTCCATATCGCCTGTCTGATGAAAGGGAGAAGTCACATTTTCCCAGACCTGTCTGAGTAAACACAGTGAGCAGGAATCCTCTCATTCACTCAAACTTAGAATTTATTTTACTGTCTTTGATTAGATCTTAACCTGGGTAAATCTATGCCGAAGATTTCCCACGCTGGTTGATTTCTTTCTTTCTTTTTTTCTTTTTTTGGTAAGGCAATTGGGGTCAAGTGACTGTCCCAGGGTCACACAACTAGTAATGGTCACGTGTCTGATCTGCGACTTGATTTGAACTCAGGTCCTCTTTACTCCAGGGCCAGTGCTCCATCCACTATGCCACCTACCTGCCCCCTACTGGTTGATTTCTAGATGAGGAAGTAGAAAGGGAAAAACCTTGGTCCTAATTCAGCTAGCTATTAAATACAAGAGAAATAATCATTTCTCTCAGAAACGTTGAATGCTAGTCTCTCAAGAATTAAAGCTGAGAGCCACCAAAGGGCAATGGAGATAGGTCAGAAGTATGAGCACCTCCTAGCAGATAACAAAGGAATAACTGTGCAGGACAAGCTATATAAAAGACGTCATCACAAAAATGAATGAATGTTAGAAAGATGGTCAGTCACCTCTCAAGAGGAAAAGATAATCAATAGACACCTTTCATAGGATCACAAGGACAAAAGAACATATATTGATAGGTCGTTCACTCTATCAATTGGATAGAAACTGAATCCTAGAGAGTAAACTGACTTGCTTAAGGTTACACAGGAAATGAGACATGATGCGTGTCCTCTCTGTCTGAATCCAGTATCCGGTACTCCTGTCCCAAGCTCTCTCTTCACCATGTTCCATTGGGTATCCAAATAAGCTCATATAATGAGAAGCACTATTTTTTCCAAGCCCCATCCCACTTCCCCTATGTTGCAATTTTAGAATAGTGTGGACAAGGTCTGTCCAGGTTAGGAAGACACAAATAGATTGTTATCTGCCACAGTGAAGGAAGTATCCACTACAATGACATCACAGTTTTACTGGGGTGTTGGAATATGAAATAGAGCCTTCCACAAAAGTCTTAATCTGATGCCTCCTAGTCATGTAGAGGTGACCTTGAGTTCTTGAAGCCAATATAAGTAGAGTACAAATGCTACAAAGTTCTACCAAAATCAAAGGTTTCAAATATTGACCTGGGCATGTTTGTTGCCTTGAGGACTTGTCTTACTTTGTTGTGAGATCCTCATTACCAGAAGGTCAGCGTCAAGTCAGTGAGAGCAATCCATCTATCAAGCTACAAAAAGGAGTATGACTTGTATCTGAATGGTGTTTTCACTGACAAAAATCACAGATCCTTGAAGTGTTGAAGTAAACATGAGCAGGGGTCACAACAGTCATTACCAATTCAATTTGGTAGGCTAGAGTCTTGATGCAGTACAAACACCTCAAGGTGATGGGTGTAGAGAGGATGTGATTCTAGAAGCAAGTGCTCACCAAGTCACCCCTGTGCTATAGTACTCCCTGCTATTCTCTTGAGTCAGGTGGGTCCTTCCCACCATCATCTTTTGGCCATCAGAAAGGCCTCAAAAAGGGCCATCTAAAACTTTTCGCAAGAGGCTTTTGCCATCTTCAGCCACAACATCAAGGAAGTGCCAATGTATGAAGTAGGTCTTTCCAAAATGGAAGCCAGCACCCATGACGAATCCCTTTGCAGAGGAGATGCCCTCAGCCAATTTTAGGAGCTTTCCCATGGCACTTTCCTCCTTAATGAGTGCCACTAAATCCAGAGACTTCATGGTGGCCTTGATCTCCTCCACGGGTCTTTCCAACTTTTGTGCCACCTGGAGAAGAGATGCATCATCCACCCCAAAAACATTTCGATAATGTTTCAAATGTTTATCCAATGTATCTAAGTTATTAATAAAGAAGCCTCCTGATGGAACAGTGGCCACAAGACCATTCTTAAAGGCTTCCAGCCAGATCCTTTCTCGTAGGGCAGCCTTCTTCCTCTCAATGGCAGCCTCAGAAGGAACAGAGAGGGCCAGCGCATAAGTGTGACGTTTGTGAGCTGGGAGATCCTTTAACAGCGTTTCCTCCAGCTTTGGGAAGTCATAATCAGACAAATCAAAGTTAGACACCAAGAAGACTTGTGCCTCACTCACACCTTCAACATGGAGGTTTTGCAGACAGTAGTCTCTCATTCTCTGCAGAACTCTCTCTTTAGAAAAAGACTTGGGTTTGGACTTCCTTTCATTATACAAGTCTATATCTACCATGGTTCTGACAAAGTAAAATTTCTTTTTCCTTTTTCTTATCTCCTGGACCAGTTTTACATGATTGGTTGTGAACCTTGAAGCTGAAAGGATGATGAAGAAATCATACTGGTTGAACTGCACTTGATGCAGATAATTGTCGGGGTGGAAATCAGGGGTCCCAATGCCTGGCAAGTCCCATAGCTTCACATTAGGATATTTAGGGTGCTCGTAAGGAGTGGCCTTCATGGTAGTCTCTACTACCCCAGTGCTTGCAGAGTCCTTTTCTTCGTGCCCAATTCCTCGAAGGCCATTGATGAAAGCAGATTTTCCAGACCCAGACTCCCCTGTTACAGCAATATTCAAGGGGACATTTTCTGATGCTTCCAGTGTCTCCCGGATCCTGGAAGCCACTTCCGCTAGTCTTCCCTCCTGCAAGGCTGACTGGATCCAGGTAATAGTATCTTCAGGCAAAAGGTCGCCATTTGTATTGGTTACCATTTTATAGTATGGCATAAAGTTGGAGGCTAAATTCTGAAGATCCTTACCACTGATGGCAATACCAAAAACCTCCATGATGCCAAATCATAAAAGGACCTGAGAGGGCAAGAAAAATAGATTAGTTCAATGATGTCATCGTAGAAGGATTTTTAATGTTAGATGTGAGAAAAATCATTGGATTAGAATCCACCATGCCCCCAGGAAAACTCCTCATTAGAAAACTCCTCACCAAGGAGACTGCGTCAGCTTTCATACCTATACTTCATCAGTACCTTAGGACCTCCTGTCCTTCTGATTGGACGACTGAAGACCTCTAATAAAGAGAGGACAACCAGCCACCTCTTCCTTTCCCAACACCATGTGCTCCTTGAACCGGACTCCATCCTGCTCTTCTGCTGAATCCCTTCTTCCCCAGCCACCCCACTCTAAAACTTGTTCAGCTCTCTGTGTGTGTGTGTGTGTTGTTTTCCTTCACTAAATTGTAAGCTCCTTGAGGGCAGGGACATAGTAAGCACTTAATAAATGCTTGTTGACTGAATGACCAGTCAGAACATCTGAGTTTTGTTCGTGATTCTGGGTCTTTGGGAAGGGTCTTGGCCTCTCTGACCTCAGTTTCCTCATCTGTGAAATGACACGGTCATATTAGACACTCTTTAAGGTCACGACTAGTTCAAACCAGTGTTGCAAATAACACTGGACATAATTCTGTCTTCACTCTGGTTCCAACACTTAAGGGTCTTCACCACCAGAGAACCAAAACTTAACCCTTTGGTTATTGAAATTAGTTACATGTCTCCATTGTATTTACAGAATTTCATACTTGGAAGGGGCCTCAATGACCTTCTCATCCGACTTATATTGACCTTGGGTCCCAAGCTAACATCAAGGCATCAATGACTCGTTTTTCCTCAAGGACATGAATACTATAACATACCTGAATAACCCTAACCCTAAATGCACACTCTAACCCTAACCCTAACCATTATTTACAACAGGCCTGACAAGCATTTACCCAAACTTCCTTTCCCTTCCCTTCAGCATATTAATGCTGAACTTAATAAGGACACATGATCAACTTCGCCCACTGCAATTCAGAATTCCTGAGCTCAAGAGATCCTCCAGCCACAGCCTCCCTTCATGCGGGGATTATAAGTGGGCAGGGGCATGTGCGACCCTGGGCAAGTCATTTTGCCTCTGGTTACCTTGGATTCCTCATATGTAAAATATGGATAATGATAGCACCTAACTCCCAGGGTTGTTGTGAGGATCAAGTGAGATAATTATAAAATGCTTACAATGATGCCTGGCATGTAATGGATACTCTATAAACACTAATAAAAATATTATCATCCTCATTCTCCACCATGAGCCTTGTGTACTTTGGTGGGAGAATGGGCCTCAGATTTATGGCTGGATTGTCATATTTTGATTATTCTTATTTTTGGCATCTACTGAATAAATGTTATAATCATTTCTCCTTTTGTCTTGTTGGAAGTTAATTTCATGTCCATGGGAAGTACACTGCTGGGGGCTCATAAGCTAGAGTGTCAAGAATAGGAGTGAATCTTCCTTTATCCTCCACCATATTAACCTTCTGATAGGATGCACCAAGGTTATCCCTGAGATTCTGAGAGAAAGAGAGGTTGAGTGGCAGTCATGTTTTCATAGCCACGGCCAGCCCTCCCACTCTGGGAATAGGAGGATAAGTTGGGGTGAGTAGATCAGCCCCACTTGAGAGAGAGAGAGAGACAGAGACAGAAAAAGATAGAGAGTGCCACTGCCCGGGCATGAGTCTGAGACCACTCTTGGGCCCCATTTGTATGAAGGTGTAGATGCCATATTTTTTTACATTTGTACCTGACAGGAAACAAAAAAAGGCATAACCAAAACATTGGCTGATTAAACTGAGATCAAGAAAGTTCACAGCAGGCCACAATAATGGTTCAATTTAAATAAAATGAGATTTAATAGAGACAGATGTAAAGTCACACACGAGTTCCAAAAATCATCTGCATAAAAACCAGAGATGGCACATAGCAAGACAATAGGCTATATAAGGGGAAGAAGAAGGCACTTAGCTGCTTCAATCATCTTCATGCACAATGTAAATCAGCAATGAATAGAAACCATTTAGTCAATTCCTATCAGTGCATAGCATTGCAGTAGGCAGTGGGAGGGAGAAAAGATTAAGTAAAACTGAGTCTCTAACCTCACGTTGTTCATAGTATAGGAGCAGTATAAAGTACAGAGCAGGTAACCATAAAATAGAATCATAAGTGATATGGCCATTGAAGTATCGCAATGTAAAATGTGTGGTGAACTTTCTGATATTAGCCAATGCAATCTTATGATAAATTCATGATAGCATAGTGTCCCCAGCGACAGAGGTGATAGCCCTACCCTGCTCGGGTCACATTTGGAAAACTGTGTACACTGAAGGTAGCCACATGTCAGGTTCCCTCCCCTGCTCTATCCAGTCCACCACATAGCTAGGGACAGAGAAGGGAGGGGGGGAAAAGCAAATAGATATAGAGATAGGAAACAATTTTAAAAGTTGACCAGCGGCACAAAGACGTATGTGTCATATTGTTTTATTTTCTCCTCCCATGAAATGGTTCTGAGTAACTTGATCACTGGATTTGAAATGGAGTTCAAAGGCAAGAGATAGGGAAGAGAAAAAGAAGGCTTAAGGAAGGGGAAGTGGGAACAGGAAAGGGAAAAGAAGAGGAAAAGAAGAGGAAAATGAAGAGGAAGGGGAAAAACAGGAAAGTGGGAAGCAAAAGGAGAGAAAGGAGAGGAAGAGATGGAAGTAAAGAGAAGAGGAAAAGTGGTCTTCTCCATATTATTTATGCCTTTGCATTTCTGAATCATTGGATCATAGAATTGAAGTGTTGAAAAGAATTTTAGAGGTCATGTCCCCTCTGCACCATCCCCGGCATATTCTTATCCAGTCCATTTCTAGACCCAAAGGAATGAGGAACTCATCATTCCTTGGGCTGCCCATTTTCAGTTTTAAAGTTTGTAAAATGCTTCACATGTTACCGCATTTGGTCCTTACAACAATCCTTTAAGACAAGTGTAGTTGTTAGTGTCATCATACAAACAAAAATGAGGCTCAAAGCAATTATATGACTTTGCTTGGATGACACAGTTAGTGCCTGAAGCAGGATTTGAACTCAGGTCTTCCTGACTTCAAGTCAAACACTCTATCCCAGGGGTGCTACAAGCTTTAAAATTCTATGTAAGTAGTAATAGTATTGGTGGTGGTGGTTGTGGTAGTAGTAGTAGTAGTAGTAGTAGTAGTAATAGCATCTCCACATCTGTGGCTCTGATACACTTTCCCACCTGACTAGTCTCTATCAATTTTATATTGTTGAAATTAGTCAAGTGGTCATATGCTGTTGTCCTCTCCTTCCTTTAGGTATGTAGAGGTTTGCGGGTATGGAACATTACACATAACGGCACACATTCATTTCCTTTTCCTGTCTTTGATTCTCCATTACAAAGTATGGCTCCTGGGAGGAGAAGTGGGAAGGGCTACATTGCAAAATGTGGATTACGTCAAAACAAAAGTTACAATAAAAGTTATTATTAAAAGAAATCCTATGCCTTTGACCAAAGTAAGGACAATACCAACGCAAGAAGGCAAAGCAACAAGCATTTTTATTTATTTGTAGCATTTAAAATTTTTTTTGAGTTTCCAATTCCCTCCCTCTCTCTAGCCCTTCCTTCACCCATTCAGAAGGCAAACAATATGAGATCAACTAGGCATGTCAAATCATGTGAAACCTATTTCCACATTAGCTATGCGGACAAAAAGCAAGAAAAATAAACTGGAAAAACCATACTTCAATTTGCACTCAGAGCTCATCTGTTCTCTCTGGATGTGGACGGCATTTTTCATCCTGGGTCTAGCATTGTCTTGGATGTTGTCTCGGTCAAAGTAACTAAGTCTTTCACAGCTGATCATCGTTACAATGTTGCTGTTACTGTGCTTAGTGTTCTCCTGGCTCCCTTCGCTTCACTCTGCTTCAGTTTATACAATCTTTCCCAGGCTTTTCTGAAACCTCTTCTCTCATCATTTCTTATACCAACCATTTATTAAGGATTTACTATGTGTGAAGAATCAGCAAAATTATATAAGGGAAATGAAATATGAAGAGGGCTGTTAACAGCTTAACTCATAATCAGAGGTTTTATGTTTTTCCTCCCCATTAGAATTCTAATCAAACTAGCATTGATAGTATGGAGGGGGATGGGCCTGGCCAGCCCTAACAAAGGTCATTGCTCTAGGCCCGCCGGGTCCTCTGTTTTGCCAGAAGGCCCGTGTTTGTCCAGTATTCTTCAAACAGAGGTTTCCCATAGTTTGCTGAGGAGAATTTTAGCATCATTGGCCACTGTCTCAAGGAAGTGCAAGTGTGCACAGTAAGTCTTTCTATAGTAGAGGCCAGGGGCAAGTAGACCTCCATTCACTGAGAAGAATAGCTCTGCATACCTCAACAGTCTCTCGCCTATGCTTTCATCTGTCTTAACTGTGAACAGATGAGGAGACTTGATAAGGGCCTTCACCTCTTCTAGAGGCTTATTGGATGCCTGGGAGGTCTTGAGGAGAGATGCATCATCTACTCCAAATTTTCTTTGATAATTGATCAAATGATACTTTAATTGAGCAATATCTTCTTCTTTAAAGACACCCACTAAAGGGATAGCGGCCCATGCGCCAGCCTTCAAGGCCTCCAGCCAGATCCTTTCCTGAATACTAGCTTTCTTTTGCTCAATTATATCCTCGGAAATATTGGGAAGGGACAGAAAAAAGACATGGCGTTTGTGCTCTGGAAGCTCTTTTGCCAAATCGTCCTTCAGTTTAGGGAAATCATAGGATTCTAATTCAAAACTGGAAATCAAAAAGACTTTCAGCTCCTCAATCCCTATTTTCTGCAGATGTTGTAGGCAGTTGGTTTTTATCATCTGCAGAACGTTCTCCTCCTTGAAGGTCCTGGGCTTGGCCCTCCTTTCATTATGCAAATCAATGTCCACTTTGGTCCTCACAAAGTAAAACTTCTTCCGCATCTCTCTGATCTTCTGGGCAAGCTTCACATCATTGATTCGAAATCTTGATGAGGAAATGATGAGGAAGAAATCATAGCGACTGAAGTTCACTTTTTCTAGATAATTCTCTGGTTTGAAATTAAGGGTGCCAATGCCTGGCAGGTCCCATAGCTTTACATTAGGAAGCTCTGGGTGTTCATAACAAGTGACGTTTGTCGTCGTCTCCACCACCCCAGTGCTAGCAGCATGCTCATCTTCATGCCCGACCCCCCGGAAGGCATTGATGAAAGTGGACTTGCCTGCACCTGACTCCCCCGTCAGTGCAATGTTCAGGACTGCATTATCCATGTCTTCAATCATCTTATTGATTAACGATACGACTTCTTCAAGTCTCCCCTCCTGCAGGGTTGATTTGATCAAAGTGATTTTTTCTTGAGGCAGTAAGTCTTTCCCCCCAGTCTCTGTATTGTTGCAATCAGGTATTATATCTGAGGCCAAAATCTTTGGTTTTTCTTCAGAAGGTAAAGAGGAGGATGAATGGTCCATGATTGGTCAATGAAGATCTCTGAAGAAAGGAAAGAATAAGAAAGGTGAAGGAGAGCAGGCCACCAAAGTGACCTTTAGAATCAGCTGATACCAAAGCCATCAGACTCAGGTGTCTTTCCCTCCTAAAGAAACAATCGTTTATTACCATCCGTTATGAGTTTTTCCTCTTCGAGTATTAATCTGTCTCCCTCAATTCAGTAAGTGTGTTTTATATTCTTCTTTAGCCTTCATTTGGTACTTTGTAAATGGTCAATAAATTTTGGTGGTGGTTTTCATTAGCTCTGGTGGACTGAGTAATGGAGGAAAGAAGAGGGGAAAGGAGAATATTCTTCTGGTCTTATGGTTCCACAATTCTACTTGGTAAAACTTCCCAAAGTCAAGTCAAATATATAAGAATTTCTTAAGAACTTATTAAATTGGAGTGGAGTCAAGATGGCAGAGTACTAAAAGTAGTACAGTGATTTCCACTCCACAAACTCCCTCAAATAGATAAGAGAGTATGGACCAGCCTCAATCCTGATGCAGAAATTCAGAAGTCACAGCGAGTCATTTTTCCAGCCCTATCATCATAGGGAGAGACATATAAAGATGTCTTCAGACACTGGGAATAAGTCAAACCAAGAGTATACCAGACAAAGCACTCCAGTACCCAGAGAGAGGCTGTATATCAGGACGAGAGTGGGTCCCATATTCATTCTGTGGCACCACCAGACCCATACCAGGACACCGAAAGGGATTGACTGGTACAGATTGACTGCTTTGTCACCTACTACCTCCTTGTGAGTCATAAGTGCGTGGAGTGAGGAGGAGATCTGCATAGCAGGGTGCTTTCCCCAGGCAAGGGAGGCTTTGGACTGTGCACTAAGGAATTTCAGAAGCCAATAGCAGCAGCAACAGCGTGGATCAGACTCAAGGCTTACAGCTGGGACTCAGTTCCAGCATTTAGCCCAGCACACAGGGGAATAACCAAGGTAGAAACTCCAGATGAAAAGGGAACCCGCCCTTCTGTAACTCCGAACCAACAGAGCTCTCCAGCTGGCTGATGAGGCTGAGTCCAGCAGCAGTCTAGTCTTACTCATATCCAAACTCAGGTCAGGAACTTGCAGAGCTTAGATCAGGGGACAACCTGCCCTGGGTTAGACTACTTTGGGAGCGCTGAAGACTTCATTAAAAGGGACAAGCCAGGAAACTACATCTTACTAAAAGGAACCACAGACACTGAAGTAATAAACTAAACGTATACGCACCAAATGGCACAGCATCCACATTCTTAAAGGGAAAAAAAATGAATTACAGGAGGAAATAGATAATAAAAGACCATACGGGGGGGGGGCCTCAACTTTCACATCTCAGAACTAGACAAATCTAACCAAAAATAAATGAGAAAGAAGTTAAGAAGATGAACAGAATTTTAGAAAAGTTAGATATGATTGACCTTTGGAGAAAACTAACTGGGAATAGAAAGGAACACCCCTGTGTCTCAGTGGTATATGGCACTGGCACAAAAATTGACCATGCATTAGGGCATAAAAACCTCACCACCAAATGCAGAAAAGTGGAAATATTAAGTGCATCCTTTTCAGATCACAATGAAAGAAGATTACATTGAATAAAGAGCCACGGGAACAAGAATATCAAGGGAATGAATGGAAAAAAAAATGTGAAAGAAGGTAGCCTAGAAGTGCCAGATCTCAAGCTGTACTCCAAAAGAAAAACCATCAAAACAATCTGGTACTGGCTAAAAAATAAAGTGGTAGATCAGTGAAATAGATTAGGTACACAAGATGCATTAGCAAATGACCATAGTAATCTATTGTTTGGTAAACCCAAAGATCCAAGTTTTGGGGACAAAACTCACTATTTAGCAAAACTTATGAGGAAAACTGGAAAGCAGCTTGACAGAACTAGGCATAAACCAACATCTCACACCATATACCAAGTAAAGGTCAAAATGGATAAATTACTTAAACAGAAAGAGTGATATCTGAAGCAAATTAGGGGAGCATGGAATATTTTACCTTTCAGGCCTATGGATAAAGGAAGAATTTATCACCAAAAAAGAGATAGAAGGCAGTACAGAATGTAAAATGGATAATTTTGATTACATTAAATTATAAAGGTTTTGCATAAACAAAACCGATGCAGCCAAAATTAGAAGGAAAGCAGAGATCTGAGGAAAAAAAATGTTTGTAATAAGTTTCTCTGATAAAGGTCTCATTTCTCAAAATGTAGAGAACTGAGCCAAATTTATAAAAATAAGAACTATTTCCCAGTTGATAAATGGTCAAAGGATATGAACAGGGAGTTTTCAGATGAAGAAATTAAAGCTATCAATAGTCACATAAAAATGCTCTAAATCACTACCGATTAGAGAAATGTAAATTAAAACAACTCTGAGGTAGCTAACAGGAAAGAAAAAGAAAATGATAAGTGCTAGAGGGGGTGTAGAAAAATTGGGACACTTAATGCATTGTTGATGGAGTTGTGAGCTAGTCCAACCATTCTGGAGAAGAAGTTGGAAATACTCCCAAAAAGCTATAAATCTGTGCATACCTTTTGAGCCACCAATATCACTACTAGGCCTGTATCCTAAAGAGAACAAAGAGAAAGGAAAAGGACCTATTTGTGCAAAGATATTTCTAGCATTCTCTTTTGTGGTGACAAAGAATTGGAAATTGAGAGGATGCTCATCAAGTAGCTGAATAAGTTGAGGCACATGATTATGTTGGAATGTTATTGTGCTGGAAGAATGATGAGCAGGGTGCTTTCAGGAAAACCTGGGAAGTCCTGCCAAGTGAAGTGAGTACAAACAGGATAACATTATACACAGGAATAGCGATATTGTGAGGATGATCAACTGTGAAGGTCTTAGCTACTCAGATCAAGACAATGACCCAAGACAATTCCAAAAGAACCATGAGGAAAAAATGCTATTCACTTCCAGAGAGAGAACTGCGGAACTCTGATTTCAGAATGAAGCATACCTTTAGAAATCTTTCTTTTATTTTTCTTGTTTTATTTTGTGTTTCTTTTGCATCATGTCTAATATGGAAATAGGGCTTGCATTCCTTTACATGTATAATTAAAATCAAATTACTTACCTTCTCAAGGAGGCAGGAGCAGCGGGAGGCAGAGAAAGAATTTAGAACTCAAAATTTTAAAAAATGATTGTTCAAAAACCTTTTATATGTAATTGGGAAATATTTAATGAAATAAAAAAATAATTTATTTTAAAAAACAAAGTCAAATGGCCAAAACCAAAACATAGAAGAAAATGTAAGGCTTCTCATGGCAAAAATAACTGACCTGGAAAACAGCTCAAGGAGAAAAAAAGTTTAAGAATCATTGGACTTTCTAAAAACCATGACCAAAAAAGGAGCCTAGACATCCTATTTCAAGAAATCTTATAAAGAAAACTACCCAGAGTTCTTAGATTCAGCAGGAAAATTGGAAATAGAAAGAATATGTTGGTCACTTCCTGAAGGAAACTCCAAAATGAAAACTCCCAGGAACATCCTATCCAAAATCCAGAGCTTCAGTTCAAGGAAAAAATATTGCAAGTAGCCAAGGAGCCCCTGTCAAAAATTTCACATGATTTAGCAGCCACAATTATAAAGCAGTGGAGAACTTGGAATACGACACTGCAGAAGGCAAAGGATATAGGCTTACAGCCAAGAATAACCTACCCGGAGAAACTGCATACAATGCTACAGGGCAAAATCAACCTTTAATGAAATAGAAGACTTGTAAGTGTTTCTGATGGAAAAGCCCAGAGTTAAAGAGAAACTTAGAAATTCAAAATCAGGAGTGAAGAGAAACATGAAAAGGTAAATTGAATGAATAATAACAAAGGATTAAACACAGATAAAGTACTTACATTCAAATATAGGGAGATGATATATGTGCCCCCTCTGAGCCCTGTCATCATTAGGTGTCACAGAGGAGTCCAATTAGGCAAGACCTCTGGAGTGGTTCTGTTATGTGTTAATGATCTCAAGAGTGGAAAGAGAGGGGAAGGTCACTGCAGCAGCCAGCCAGGAAAGGAAGGTCAGGGAAAATGATCTCAGAAGCAGACATCTATATGAACAAGGAGGAGGATATAGAGGGAACGTCTCACACTGGCACCTCACTCTCATGTGAACTGGTCCAAAGAATGTACACACACACACACACACACACACACACACACACACACACACAGAGTTGGCTACAGAAACATACTTGACTCAACAAGTAAATAGGAGGGAAAAGGGAGAAGTAGGAAGGGGAATTAGAGGGAGGGAATACTCCTAAGCTCAGTAAGGGGGAGGTAAGAGGATGATTGGACTGATTAAAACAAAGAAAAGATATGTTTAAAAAAAATAATGTAAAGGAAAACAACTTTGAAAGACTTTAGAACTATAATGACTGAACATGATTCCAGAAGATGCATGATGAAACATGTTGCTCACCTCCTGACAAAGAGGTGACAGATTCAATAGATATATGTAGATATATAGAGATATATATATATATATATCTCTACATATATATATATATATCTACATATATATACATATATATACCCAGATACATACATGTATAATATATATAGTCATATACAAATTCATATGTATGTATATATACCTACATATACACATATATGTGCATATGTATGCACACACATATAGTAGACTTTATATATACATGTGTATATACACACATATATTAATAATATATAATTATGGACATAGTCTATGCAGGATTTTCTTTTGCCTGATTATGTAAAACTCTTGCAACAAGGAGTTGGTTTTCTTGCTTAATGGGGGTGACAGGGAAGGTGAAAGGGAAAGAAGACAATTTTCTTTGAAAAAAAATTTAATTCAAAAAATAAAATTTAAATTTAGTAAAAATGAAATTTGAAAAGTCAGATCCAAGCTGTGGAAGAATCTGAAGGACAAAGCTCTTAGAGAAGAAGTGCAAAACCTTAGCAAGTAAAGGACTCTGAAAAATAGAAAAAAAATTTTTAAAAAAGAAGAAGGCCATTGAAACATTTTCGGGTTTTTTTTTCCTTTTTTTCTTTTGTTTGTTTTTTTTTAAATAGGAATTTATTTATTTTTAGTTTTCAACATTTACTTCCACAAGATTTTGAGTTCTGAATTTTCTCTCCATCTCATCCCTCCACCCATCCCAAGATGTCATGCATTCTGAATACCCCTTCCCCTGGTCTGCCCTACCTTCTATCTCTCCCCACCTTCTCTTATCCCCTTCCCTCTCTATTTTCCTGTAGGGCAGGATAGACTTCTGTACCCCATTTCCTGTATTTCTTACTTCCCAGTTGCACATGAAAACATTTACCATTGAAACAGTTTTAAGAGTGAAGGAAGGTCACCAGAGAAGGAAGCACAGACGAGGACCATATTGAAAGTACCTGGTTGACTTTCTTGTATACCTTCTGTGAAAGGGTATGAAATAGAGATAAGTGGTTAGAAATGCAATCCTCTCTTTTTGTTTTATTGTGTATGTGGAAATGCCCGTTCTAGGATGCTTACATTCAGATTTTTATAAAAAGTAAAGCTATACTAAGTAGAGAAAGAGAGAAGAACAGAGATAGAGAGAATTAGGCATGTGGTAGAGAAACACTAGGACGTGGGGCAAAGAATCTCTTGGACTTTGAGTAGTCCTGCCCCTTTCTTTCTTACCCTTTTGATCCTTCTTTTCCCTTTTTCTTTCTTTTTCTTTCGCTTATTAATTCATCTATCAAACAACCAGAAGAAAACCATCTGTCAGATGACCCCGAGGTGTCTTCCACTTCTCAACCTACCATCTGTTCCAAAGTGTATTTAGAGAATGACAAAGCAACATGATCTGTGGCTTCCAGAGAAGAAGATTGGTAGAATGTAAGGGGTGGAGGTGAGGGACGTTAGAGTGAGAACATCCGGGGACATCTGGAACTTGAGATGGGCTGTCAGGGATGGATGACAAAACAGGCCAGGAGGAGGGGAAGGGGAGTGGGATGGGGAGGGTTGGGGAGCAGGCATTGCAGGCATTGAAAACAGTGCAAGGGAAGACAGAGGGGTGAGAAGCCCCTTTAGGGCAGAAGGAGGGTGAGAGAATGGCTCTGTTTGGCTCGACTACAACCTATGTCCATCTTAGGCACAGACAAGGTTGAACACAGCAGCCAAGCTACTGCATAAATTTAAGGAGGTGGGGGAAGGAAGGAAGCAGTGGCTTAGAATTCTTAGCCCTAAAGTCCTGCCTCTTTGAAGCCCAGTGCTTAGGGTCTTGTCCTCCCAAGTTTTATCTCATATCCCAGCATTCCCCCAAAGTGCCCACCCTGAGCTGCAGAAGCCAGTCAACCAAGATTACATTTTTATTTACAGAAGATTACCAGCTTCGGTCTCCATTTCCATAGAGATTAGAAAACACCTGCCAATTCTGGTACCGTCTGACCATGCCTGGTACCAGAAGCATCCAGAGAAAAGTCAGCTGGCTGCCAGGAAAGGCTGGTCAAGGGTTTGCTCACTTCCAACATTCCAGTTTGCTGTACTTTAAATCCTGCTCAACTCCTGACCTCTCAGTGTGATTCCATCCTGGCAATTAGCCCAGAGCTGTGCCACCCAGGGTACCCTTCCTACAACCCAGGAGGTTTTCAATCTCCTCCGTATGAGGACCTTTTACACAGAGGGGTTGGAGGGGTATCAGGTACCTTAACTGGATTCTGTCGCCCCTTGAATCCATCAAATCCTGAGGAAAAGTCAATTGCTGCGGTGAGAAACCAGCTCCACACTTACCTCTAGGGTTAGTGGGCAACTACTCTGGCCTCCCCTGCACTCATAGACACGTCTCTTGATGACCCAGAGCTTCTGTTGTTGGACTCAAAAGCAGGGACAGACACTGAGACTTGTGACTTAAGGACTTATATCTGATTCAGTCCCCACCCTTGGTTTTTATTTGCTAATAAAGGTCACTAGATATGAAGCTTTCTGTTTCATTTTCCCATAAAAGACATTTCTAAGAAGAGATATTGTGAAAGAGGCCTAAGAAAAGAGTTTTGAGATCACTGACCATTCAACCAACAAGGAGGTATTCTCTATCTCCTCTCTGATTCAAAGTGTTTTGAATACCTTTATGAAGCACCTACTGAATGCAAGGCACTGTGCTTTGTTAGAACAGCAAGGGTCCCTAATGTCTGTGAGCTTAGAGATGCTCAGAGACACAGGCAACTGTCCTAAGCCACAGGAGTTGCAGACAAAGTGCTGGGAGATATGCGGGCTCACTTCTAGCTGGGAGGATCAGGGGAGGCTGCATGAAAGAAGCTCCTTAGCTAGGGCCTGAAGAGGTTTAGCCTATTTTGATTTTGGCCCCTACCTACTGCCAAGCTGTGCAGGTCTGCACCAGAGAATGGGAGGAAGGTGGACAAGGTGACACCTGTTTCGGGAGTGGTGAGTTGGTCCATTTGGCAGGATCATGGAATAAGGTTGATGGAGGAATGTCAAGGTGGCCTCTGAGACACCAGCAAATAAGGGAGAAGGACAGGAAGAATGAGATAATGAGAGAAGCTGGCATTGATGTAAACCTCGTATACAAAGGGCTTTGCAAAAATTGGCTCATTTGATCCTCCCAACAACCCTGACAGGTACGTACCATTATTTTCCTCATTGTATCAATAGGGAAGGGCAGCTGAGTGGTGCCATAGTGCACAGAGCACTAGGCTTGGAATCAGAGAGACTCGTCTTCCTGAGTTCAAATCTGACCTCTCAGACACTTTTTAGCTGTGGGACCCTAGGCAAGTCGCTTTACCTTGTTTGCCTCAGTTTCCTCATCCGTAAAATGAGCTGGAGAAGGAAATAGCAAACCACTCCAGTATCTTTGTCAAGAAATCCCTAAAATGGGGTCACAGAGAGTCAAACACGACTGACCAACATCAATAGATGGGGAAACTGAGGCTTACAGGGGTGAAGTGGCTTGCCCAGGTCTGAGGGAGCTAGCGTGAGGGAGGATTTGAATTCAGGTCTTCCTGACTCCAAGTCCAGTATTATGTCCACTGAGCCTCCTCTTAGCCACATGTTAAGCAGAGATGCTAAGGAGAGGAGGTCCTTTCTGGTGGGATGGAACCCATTTACAATTTGCCAAAGATCTAAGGGTTTGAGTGGCTCATTGGCACATGAAGGGGTGGAATACAGTATGAATTTGCCACCAGAATGTGGATTTTATCTTGCCTTTTACCTGTTGGTTCACTTGCATAGATCAGCTGGAAAATGTTGGAGTTTGAAAAAACAAACTGTAGAACCCTGAACCTTTGAGCTGTTTGGTGATGACTGAGCAAAAATCCATTACCTGCTTATCATCTATCTGGCAGAAGTATTGCAGAAAATAGATTACAGCAACTTATCACAAGAATAATACCCTATGACCAGGTAGGATTTATATCAGAAATGCAGGGTTGGTTCAATATAAGGAAAACTATCAGCATAATTGAGCATGGGGACAAGCTAGAAGCATTTCCAATAAATCAGGGGTGAAACAAGGATGTCCATTATCACCACTGTTATTCAATATTGTACTGGAAACCTTAGCTTTAGCAATAAGAGAAGAAAAAGAAATTGAAAGTATTAGAATAGGCAAAGAAGAAACAAAGCTATCAGTCTTTGCAGATGACATGATGACATACTTAGAGAATCCTAGAGAATCAAGTAAAAAATTACTTGAAATAATAAACAACTTTAGCAAAGTTGCAGGCTATAAACTAAACCCACATAAATCATCAGCATTTCTATATATTACCAACAAAGCCCAACAGCAAGAGATAGAAAGAGAAATTCCATTTAAACTTACTGTAGACGTTATAAAATATTTGGGAGTCTACCTACCAAAACAAACCCAGGAACTCTATGAACACAATTACAAAACTTTTTTGAAACAAATAAAATCAGATCTAAATAATTGGAAAAACATCAATGCTCATGGGTAGGCCGAGCTAATATAATAAAAATGACAATCCTACCTAAGCTAATTTACGTATTCAGTGCCATACCAATCAAACTACCAAAACATTATTTCACTGAGGTAGAAAAAAATAATAACAAGATTCATTTGGAAGAACAAAAGGTCAGAATATCAAAGGAACTAATGAAAAGAAATGCAGGGAAGGTGGCCTAGCAATTCCAGATCTTAAATTGTATTATAAAGCAGCAATCGTCAAAACTGCTTGGTACTGGCTAAGAAATAGGGTGGTGGATCAGTGGAATAGGTTAAATATGCAAGACACAGTAGTCAATGACTATAGTAATCTATTATTTGATAAACCCAAAGACCCCAGCTTCTGGGATAACAGCCCACTCTTTGAAAAAAACTGCTGGGAAAACTGGAAAAGAGCATGGCAGAAACTAGGCATAGACCCAAACCTCACACCATGTACCAAAATTAAGTCAAAATGGGTTCATGATTTAGATATAAAGGCTGATATTATAAGCAAACTGGGAGAACAAGGAATAGTTTACCTATCAGATCTATGGAGAACAGAAGAATTCATGACCAAACAGGAGATAGAGAACATTATGAAAAGCAAAATGGATAATTTTGATTACATTAAATTGAAAAGTTTTTGCAGAAACAAAGCCAATGCAACTAAGATTAGAAGGAAGGTAGAAAATTGGGAAAGAATTTTTACAGCCAGTGTCTCTGCTAAAGGCCTTATTTCTAAAATCTATAGAGAACTGAGTCAAATTTATGAAAATACAAGTCATTCCCCAATTGATAAATAGTCAAAGGATATGAACAGGCAGTTTTCAGATGAAGAAATTAAAACTATCTATAGTCATATGAAAAAATGCTCTAAATCACCATTGATTAGACAAATGCAAATTAAAACAACTCTGAGGTACCACCCCACACCTATCAGATTGGTCAACACAACAAAACAGGAAAATGATAAATGTTGGAGAAGATGTGGGAAATTTGGGACACTTGTGCACTGTTGGTTTGTGAACTGATCCAACCATTCTGGTGAGCAATTGGGAACTCTGCCCAACGGGCTATCAAAATGTGCATACCCTTTGACCCAGCAATAGCACTTTTAGGGCTGTATCCCAAAGAGATCATACAAATGGGAAAAGGACCCATGTGTACAAAACTATTCACAGCAACTCTCTCTGTGGTGGCAAAGAATTGGAAATTGAGAGGGTGCCCATCATTTGGGGAATGACTGAACAGGTTGTGGTATACGAATGTAACAGAATACTATTGTGCTATAAGAAATGATGAGCAAATGGACTTCAGAAAAACCTGGAAAGACTTGCATGGACTGACACTGAGTGAAGTGAGCAGAACCAGGAGAACAGTTATACACAGTAACAGCCATGTTGTAGATAGAATTGCCTCTTCTTAGCAATGCAAGGATCTAAGATGACTCCAAAAGATTCCTGCTGGAGAATGCTGTCCACATCCGGAAAAAGAACTGTGGAGTCTGAATGCAGATGGAAGCATATTATTTGCTCTCTCTCCTTTTTTTTTTGTTTGTTTCTTCTTTCTTGTGGCTTCTCCCATTAGTTCTAATTCTTCTTTACAACATGATTAATGTGAAAATAGATTTAATATGATTGCATATGTTGAATCTATATCCATTTACACATTGTCTTAGGGGTGGTGGGAGGGAAGAAAATTTGGAACTCAAAATCTTATGGAAGTGAATGTTGAGAACTAAAAATAAATAAACCCCACCAAAAAAATTCAGGTGAGAACACACACCCACTGTTAACTAGGTGTGAACAAGGGCTAAATACTGCTAGAATGGGTAGGACTGGACTGTTCAGATCAGCTGAGCAAGTTGGCCATACCCTCTGGTGCCCGTATCAAACCCAGTTAGAATTAGAGATCCAAAGGGATCTCTGAAGGGAAAAAGGAAAGACGCTATCTCTTTGGAGAGAGGAGATGCCTCTCTTCTCATTCTCTCACCTGATCAGAGGAGGACCTTGTACAAACTTTGAAGTTCCACAGGATTTGGAATTTCCCATGTGGCCATCTGAGTCCTAATAGCATCCCTGAAATAGCCATCGACGGTGTTCACATCAGAAAAAGCCCCAGAAGCTCTACAAAGATCTCAGTGGACAATCTCTACCACACCTAAGAGGGACATCTTGAGGACTCCACCAAAGAACTTCCCACTCCTCCATGACTGCATGTGCTTTTTAAGCTATAGCCCACTTTCCACTTGACTGTAGTTCTTGGAGGAAAGTGTTTGTATCACTTCTATTAGCTGTGCTCACTACAATACCCTAGTAAATACTCCCTTTTAAAAAACTAAGCACCCAGCTCACTAATTGACATCAACTGATAACCATGGTGGGAAGTGCTGGTGGGGGCTCGTGGCTCATGGTGCTAGAAAGACAATCCCTAACTCTCCAGGGCTCTGACTGGAATCAGAAGGGACCCATGGCAGGCTTGCTCACTGGACCACCTAACTGCCTCAGCGTATATCAGTGGCATATCATATAATGGAATATTTTTGTACCACAAGGGATGATAAATATGAAAAAAATCAAATAGATATGGAAAATATTTTGGGCGTGATGCTGAGTCGATGATTCAATTCAACCCGCTTCATCGAGTATTCCTGAAGAACTCACTATCTGCCAGACCATAGGCATACAGAGACATAAAAAAATGAGATCATCTCATCTCTGCCCTCAAGAAGTTTACATTCTATTGGGGGAAGGAACATTTACACAGAAATTTACCTATAAAACATATCAGTAACAGGGGAAAGATCCAGATAAGCTGACACATCTAAGTGAGAACTGAGTTGAATTAGGAAGGGAGTTAGGAGGTCCAGGACATGGAAAGCAGGAGGGAGTACATTACAGGCTTATGCAAAGGTTTGGAGACTGGAGATGAAGAATGGCAAAAAGGCCACAT